AACTCCCCTCCTGATACATGTTCAAGTACTAGATAGCTGCAAGAAGAAAGGAGCAAAATGTTAATTTCAAACCAATCAAGACTAATGGACAGTCTGATATACTATCTTGCTGACTGTCCTATAGCCCAGACAAAATATACATGGGTTTTCTAGACTTGATTCAACTTCTATAAATCTTGATTACAACTGAAAAAATGTTATAATGTTCTAATGCAATTTCCTTGATATCTGCTAGATGGCATGTTCACACATACATTGTAAATGTACATCATTTCAACCAGATGGCAAATAATGTATTCTGCTCTTTCCTTGATCAAAATTTGACCCTTTTCCATTACTGGTGTTGCTGGTTACAGACAAGATTAATGTAAAATTGACCTATATAGCTAGATATTGAAAGTGTAAGTATACTTACAGGTATTTTCTGTTTTCATAAACATCATACAACCTAAGTACATGTGGATGTTCTATAAGCTTTAGGATGGCAATTTCCCTCTCCACCTAGAAAACAATAAACAATACAATGAAGTATTAGCAGAATTATTACATGTATAAGAACTTTATTGACACAATAGAAGTACAGCAATTTTTGTAAGGTCTATATAACTAGACATACAAACAGACAAGTGGTACAAAAGAATTAACCTATGTACAAGAATATGGATCAAACAACTTCTACTTAGCAATGAATCATGTAGACCCTTTGAATATAACAAAATCTTTATTGACATAACAAAAGTACTGACACTTTAGTCATGTCTTCTACAACTACATGTGTATACCTACAAACAAGTGGATACAAATCTACAAATTTTATGATACATTAATCTGATTCCTATGTTCAATTTATGGCTGCAGATAGATTTTTGACAGCTGGAACAGCTTGGTTTTATATATAAATGCAACATTTTGGCATCACCCTTATACCAGTGACTGTGTAGATATAGACCTATTCTTCAAGGCACATTTTCTAAAGATTGAAACAGATCTAGAGCAGGACCACTGGCAAGCCATAGACAATGTACAATATTCATGAGCAATACCTTTTTGTCTTATCTTGTGCATCTATTATTAAAACTTTTAAACTAAAACACAGAAGACACTGTGTAATTAGACTACGGGTGCTCCCCTCCACAGTATGCCTGATTAGATTTTGTAATTTTTCTATCTTTATAAACTACTCGATGACTTCTTCCTGTCATCCCAGCAGTATAGTTTCCCAGGGTAGAACAATAAACTTAAGTGCCTGGAGCTACTATTCAGACTTCCCATATATTATGATACAGCCCCTAAAAT